CTGCTTTGATTCTTTTCATCCTCTTTCTTTGTTGCAGGAGAGAAAGAGGGGGAAGGCCATCTGAGACCCATTGAATTTCCAAAGGCAGTGCAGGTGAGGGGATTGTTTTTTCCCAATATGGTATGGGGAACTGTGTTTTGCAAGATGATGTCTTCTATGGACAATTTTTGCAAGACAGTGATTTTTCCCCACTGGAACACATTAAATAGATTTTAATGCATTCCAGTGGGGAACTGGGTTTCGCAAGATGATGTTTTCGCAAAACAGCGATTTCCACGGAATGAATTAAAATCGTCTTGCGAGGCACCACTCTAAGTTGGGTTCTTCACAATGGTTCTCAATATTTTGGAGTTCCTACAGCATAGCATCTGTTTCTGTGATATGCAACATATTTTGTGACTTCCGTTCATAAGACTTTTATAAAATCCATTTCTGGAATCAAGGGAATTGCAGATTTCTACTCTAAGTAATCATATAAGTGGAGAATGGAGGAGCAGGCCCTTTGTGTGTGAAGAGAGCAACTGCCCAAGATTACAGATCTGTGAATATACACTCTTCCTTAGAAAGTATAAACATCTGATTAACTGTGACTGGAAAAGACTTTTCTGGGCTAGGGTGGCTGTCTATCTAGCACTAACTAATAATTCCTTCCAGTCTTTGAACTCAAGGAGAACCCTACCCCTCTGCTGAGTGCTTCTTTCCCTCTTTTCTCAGTTAGTGGCAGCTGTTTCCTGTTGATCTGTTCAGCTGGTTACTAAGTATGTGTGTAGTAAAGAGAACAACATACACAAGTCTGTAATTTCAAACAACTAAGTAAAGGTTGTTGTCGGTTTTTCAGGCTCTTTGGCCGTGTTCTGAAGGTTGTTCTTCCTAACGTTTCGCCAGTCTCTGTGGCCGGCATCTTTTGAGGACAGCACTCTCTGTGATGCCGGCCACAGAGACTGGCGAAACGTTAGAACAACCTTCAGAACACAGCCAAAGAGCCCGAAAAACCCACAACAACTATTAGATCCCGGCCGTGAAAGCCTTCGTGAATAAACTAAGTAAAGATTTTTTAAAACTTTTTTTAATGAGACTTTAACACCAATTAATGAGAAGGGATAAACTCTAGGGAACATTTAGCTATTCTCTTCTGTGGATCTCCATACTTCTACTATGTGAGAAGAGAAATTTATCAGAAATTCAACACTCTGCAACAATTGCTACAGCCAGATATTTCCAGTCTCACTATAATTGGCTTCAGTCAATAATCTGGTCATGCCATTTTGGACACTGAAAGGAATCTGCCGGGCAATGGAGTGGGCAGTACACCAACATAATTTTGTACACAGCACACACTTTCAGATGCACACACTGTTTACAGTGAAACCTGCAGAGTGCAGGATGGGGCACTTGGTAAGGGGATAAAATCACAACAGCCTAGAAAAGTACCTCCAGATATCATCTGGTGCTACAGAGAAAACTCATGGGAACAAAGCTGAGAGAGTTTAAGCTTATATCCGCTGCTACTTGTAAAATTTCAAACCAATGAGTGCTATTTTTTTCTCTTAAAAATATGACCCATGAACCATTTTCTTCCCTCATTAATCCTTAGTATTTAAACACATACGTTTCAGGCAACAAAATCACAAAGAAATATGCTATATATTACAAAAAACCCTAAACTATGTAAATGAGAACAGCAAAAGATTTAACAGTTACCGGTCCTGGAGGCTGCATGGGAGCATGAGACATATGAGGAGCCATCATTCCAGGCATCACTGACTGCATCATTCCAGGCATCTACAAACAAAACATGATTATAGTACGTGATTACTACCTAATCAAATTTGTTTCATATGTAACTTCTTTTCTTTTGACTGGTGGGAAGACAGTGTTTAATCCTGTTCTACCAGAAATAATTGGGGGCAGATAAAGAAGTATAAATAAGTATATTGAAACCTGTACAAGGCTAATTAGGGAATGAGGTAATAGTGTGGCGACTTTCAAAGTACATAAAGTTACACCCCCATGTGGCTGGAGGTACCATGAAGAACAAAATCTTAAAGGGCCAACAAATAAGAAAATTACATTTCAGTCACAAATGGTGATCTGTCAAAAGGAAATCTATAGTGACGACGTGGGAAATTTGGGGTGGAGGAATATCCCCCCCTCCAATCAAGAACAGGCCCCCAAGGCCAGTATGTTAATATTAAAACAATATTAAACATTAGCTCTATTCAGTCACTGCAGGAACGGGGCCCAAATCTTTTATATTCCCAGACCAAATCCCTGTGAATTATGTAAACTCTATTAATCTTGAGGGATCATTTACTTCATCTATGAACAGTGAATAATACCTGAAAGACTTGTCTCACAGGACTGGAGTAAGATTTATGCTTGCAAAGATGTTCCAAGATGAAGAGTACTATAAAGTTTAAGAATTATGACTGCAGGGTTCAAAAACATGAACTGTTAAAAAAAGCTGAGAAAAGCATGCAACAAGGATGCAAACTACCTTGGCTAATTAAAACCATACCTGCCCATAGTCATAAATATGGTGAAGGGAACAATTTTCCACACGCCAATGATATTGTAAAGGAATGCAAGCCATCTATGGCAGGAGCCCATGGTAGTTACTATGAAGAACTAATATTTTTATAGGTTATACATTATACATTAACTGGAAATACATTTCTGAAAGGGAACTATAGGCTTTGTTGGTGGCATTTTTTATCAGCTCTCACTAGGAATTAAGAAGATGGCAATAGGAGAAACAAATTGTACAAATAATACTAATTGATCATTCAATTTCACTGGCAAGCCCCACAAACAATTCATGGGAAATCACCCCCCAATATGTGGACATAATCCCTGGAAGGTTGGCCAAGTGTTCCCATTCCCATGTATCTTCAGGGAGCATCAGGTTACTGCTCCCTCTTACCTTCCATCTTGTGTGGAGGGAGAGGTATTTGGTAGGGCTACTGCTCCACCCTCAATCCACAAGGTTTTCTTGGAAGCGTGAGGAAGAGAAGAAAGAATGGGAGTGGCCCTCCCATTCCCCACCATCCTGTAGAAGCAGGAGAAGAAAGGAGTCTTGCCCCACTGCTGCTTCCAAATAATTGTGTTCCACGCAAGAGATGGTCCCTAAAAACCTCTACCCATGTAGCTTCAGAAACAAAGGATTCCTTAATCCAGATGCCAAACTCATAGCCTACATGGCTACATAATACAAAACAATGGTGCTTGACAAATCCAGTTTGCACTGACCCAAGCAAGCCACAGACCCCAAGATTTATCAAATACCCGGTGGCCCACAACACGTTATACAGCTCATTGTTAATTTGTTTGGCAGTTTTAATTTCCCGGATGCTGTTTTAATTTTCTGGGATATACACACACCTCTCAAACACAGAGTCTACACAGCTCCAAGATGTGTGAAGGGAAGCTATCAATAGGAACAGTAATTACTTAAATAAGGGCAGAACTACATTGGAGTATGGTGAGACATAGTGGGTAATCTTCCGTGGAACATGATGGCCCCCAAAAGCAAGCAAAAGAGAGGGAGAGAGATTCTGAACATTCACAATCTGTTCCCTAATAAGCACGTAAAATTCCCTAGAGCTCAGAGTCTCGGCAGGATAACAGACTATAGATATGAGACCAAGACGTAAAGCTTTTACATTCTGAATTTCAGACAATTACATTCTGGATTTTCCCCCCCTACAAATTAAGTTCCATAATATTAAACCATCTCAAGTTGTTTGTTTGCATTTATGTATCATAACTTTTTTGCTATGTGATAATAACAGGAAAGAAGAGGGATAACTGTAACATGAAAATAATGGAAGTTTAGTGGAAACTAATAGTCAAAGCAAAGTTAAGAATGTAAAGTTTTTGTATTCAGAATCACCTCTGAAAACAGGTCATTAGATAAAGAACTTCCACAACTCAAATTGTTTTTAGTCTTTGTCTAAATTGTGCTATACTCATCTTCACTAACATACTGCTACACTATTCATAATCTGGAAGGATACCAGGCATCCAACTGACCTGCTACCTACATAGCAGGACACAGTGCCCTTCATTCACTTTGATCTAATACATCATGAAAAAGAGACTGAAGCTGCTATTGCTAGTGGCAAAATGTGAAGGATGTCTGACACAGCCAGAAAGAAAGGCAGCTTTCCACAATCCAAGCTGACTAGATTGTTTAAGGGTTGTTCTAACTGCTGACTGAAATGGAATTGCTCATCAGTGTAAGGGTCTATAAGAAGAGAAATAATGACAGAGAATACTTTTTCAGATTCCTCTGCATAGAAAACACAAAGTACAAACTTTCAAAATGCAAATGAGGGATGCTGAAAGGGGAGAACTGCTCCCTGCCCATGTCTCTTAAGATTTTTAACCAGCATGAGAAATATGCTCTTGATTTTGCATATGTAAGACGGACACAAAATTCCAGAAAATATACAGCTAAATTCCTCCACAGATTTAATTGGTATGCTGGAACTTTAATTTAGTAAAGTCAGCAGTAAGGAAGGAAGGATGGATGGATGGATTTCAGCAACGACATGAATCTTAGAGTACGTACCTATCTTAGTGAGCTACTGTTATTCCTAAAATAGATTTAAATTAGTTTCAAAATATGGCTCATGTCTTGAAAAGCTATTTATACAACAAAAAGCGCAGATGCCAACTTACCTGTCCCATCTGTGGTCCTCCCATTGGAGGCATCATTTGAGGCATCATTCCATGAGATACTGGAGGCATATTAGGTGGTCTTTGGCCCATAGGATGCATTCCCATGGGTGGGTAATGAGGCATGCCAGGATGTCCCATCTGAAAAACAAAATGGCAGCTGAAAATTCCAATTCAATAATGTTCACATTGGCATTATTGGGGGGGGGGAGGACTTTGCCCTATGTTTCCAAACTAAATCTCATTAGTTAAGTCTCATTAAGAATATGAACTTTTTCCCATTTAGTTGACATTATATAACTCATCAACAGAGCTTTTACATACTTGTAAAATATATCCTTAAAATGACAGTTCTTAAAATGCTTACTCATGCAAAGCATGAACTATATCGTAAATAAATATTACTATAATCTTGCAGATTTTCAAACTACTGCACTGTAATGTTTTCATTTCAAAAGTTCTCTGATTCCCATGACTGTCTTATGTTCTTAATGCATTCAGTTTAAATACAGATATTACTAAAACTTAAAAGAACCTAGTATTGATAAATTTTAAAAATTTCATAATAGCAAACAACACAGAAGAAAGCCTTAATAATACAAAAAGAAGCCCAAGATGCCATGTTCATAAGTTGTTGGGAAAACAAACCCAGGTATCCACTTTTCTTTTGTGTGTTTATATATTTCACACAAAACTATTTTTCAGAAGCATTTTAGAAATGTAAGCTTCCCAAAAGAAAAAAAATTATGAAAACAATAACCGGATCACCTTATAAGAATATACAGTACGTGGTAATAGATTCAGCACAGAGATGTTTGCAAAAATCAGGACACTAAGCTTCAAATTCTCATAGTATTCTGAATGCCTAAATTTAATAAAAGGAAATGCATTTGCACCCCGCAAAAAGCACACAAGTCCAAATGCTCATTGCCTTGTGCATCCACTCACATACACTGATCAGCAACAAAATTAAAACCACTGGCAGGCAAAGTGAATAGTATTATTATATCATTACAATGACACTTATCAAGAATATATTAGGCAACAAGAGAACAGTCAGGTCTTGAATATAATGTGTCGGAAGCAGGACATATGGGCAAGTGGAAAGATCTGAGTGACTTTGACAAGGATCAAATAGTGATGGCTAGACAACTGAGAGCACCTCCAAAATAGTAAGCCTTGTGGGCTGTTCCCAGTATGCGCTGGTTAGTACCTACCAAAAGTGGTGCAAGGAAAGACAACTGGTGAACCGGCATCAGGGTCACAGATGCTCAACGTTCACTGATACATGTGCAGAGGAAAGGCTAGCCTGTCTGGTCCGATCACACAGAAGAGCTACTATAATTCAAATTGGTGAAAAACTTAATGCTGGCCATGATAGAGAAACACCAGAAAACAAAATGCATCACAGTTTGCTATTTATGGGGCTGTGTTGCTGCAGACCAGTCAGAGTGCCCAGAATGACCCCTGCCCATCACTGAAAGCAACTACAATGGGGACATGAGTGTCACAAATTAATCATAGAGCAATGGGAGAAAGTTGCCTGGTGTGATGAATCATTTTTCTTTTAGATCAAGTGGATGGCCAGGTTTGTGTGTGTAATTAAGAGATGGCAGCAGGATGCACTATGGGAAGAAGGTTGGCTGGTGGAAGCAGTGTTATTCTTTGGGCAAAGTTCTACTGGGAAACCTTGGGTCCTGGCATTCGTGTGGATATTCCTTTGACACATACCACCTACCTAGAAACTGCTGAAGACCACATACACCCTTTCATGGCAATGGTGTTCTCTGATGGCAGTTTCCTCTTTTAGCAGGATAATGCACCTTACCACACTGCAAAGACTGTTCAGGAATTATTTGAGGAACACAACAAAGAGTTCAACATGCTGGCTTCCAAACTCCCCAGATCTCAATTCAACTGAGCATCTATGGCATGTGCTGGAACACCAAATCCAATCCATGGACCTCCCCATCTCGCAACTTGTGGGATTTAAAGGATCTACTGCTAATGTCTTGATGCCAGATACCACAGGACAAATTCAAAGATCTTGGGGAGTCCATGCATTGCTGCACCAGTGATGTTTTGGCATCATGAAGGCAATCTACACGATATTAGGCAGTTGGTTTTAATGTTCTGGCTGGTCAGTGTATGTTCCCCATGTAATGAAGATGTGAACCACAGTTTCTTATATTATAAGTGAATTCAAAAATTAGTATTTAACAAGCAAAATAGAACTGCTTGGTGAAGACCATCAAGAGCCAAGCCACAATATAAAACAGAGACAGAAAAAGCAAACTAATAATTTTAAGCCTGTATTTTCAAATTGTAGGTGAAGTAAAGAAAGTCTTAGGATTTGTTAGCATTACTAAGTCTTTCCAAAGGAGTAGATATTTGTTAGCTTTCGAGATCAACAAAAGTCTTTGCTGAAATGGATTATCTATGCTATGTGCCAAAATAAAACCATGGAAAATGCCTCTCACTCAGTCCATACTGACTTCCTTACATCATTGACTGGGGGGGGGCGGAAAAATCTGGCTGAAATCTTATTTCCCAACTTCTTCACATGGATATAGATATTAATATTTAATGTAAACTTATCTATTCCTTTCACTTCTTAAGAGTTCCCTGGGAATCCATTTCAACCTAGGGAAGCTTTTGAGAGCTTCAGAATGGAGGGAGGGCCCTTTAATATCTTAAAATCCATGTTGGGACAGAGATTATCAACAATGATTTTCAGAAATTAAAGGCTCCCTCTCCATCATGATACAGTACTCCCAAAGGCTTTCCCAGATCAAAAAGGAGGAAGTATCCGAACACTCGTTTGTGTGTTTGCAGAAAAATAGGAAACTTTAAATTGAAAACCAACATTTGTGGCTGGACATCACTTAAAACCACACAGCTCTTGCCAACTGGATTCTAGCTAGAGATGGGGGTATTTGTATACAAATGTCTCCACACAGGTGGTGTTAATGAGGGTCCAGCCCCATGGGGCCGGACGGTCCACTCACCGATCTGCCGTGGATGCAGACGGCACAATTTTCCCAAGGGCTTCTCAGTGTGCGATCCACTCGCCACTCTGGGCAGGAGGCGGGAGGACAAGCCTTGCTGCAAGGTCAAGGAGTGGCGAGCGGATCACGTGCTGTGGAGCCATTTGTAGAATCGCGCTGTCTGCATCAGATTGGTGAGTGGACCGTCCAGCCCCATGGGGCTGGACCCTCTTTATCACCAACTGTGTGGGGATATTCATATTTGCATACAAAGGCCCCCATCTCTAATTCTAGTTACTGAGGCTACTCTGATTACATAGCAGGCCTTCAGACAATTAATTGCATGTATATACCAGAAAGATTTAGACACAAATGCCTCCCTATAATACAGAAGTCCCCAACCTCCAGTCTGCAGCCCAGTGCCAGTCCATTGTCTGAACTGGACTGGGCTGCGGAGGGAGACCTCCCCATCATCACCGCACGTACTTCCCCCCACACAGCCCTTTGCGCCTGCAAGTGCCCACACCCACACAAGCGCTGCACTGCCCTTTGTGCAGGCGCACAAGCACACCCTCACGAGCACTGTGCCACCCTTTGTGAATGCGCACAATAGCACCCGCACGAGCGCTGTGCTGCCCTTTGTACATGGACATGAGTGTGCCCACACGAGCACAGCACCACCCTTTGCACATGAGCACGTGCGTGAGAGCACACATGCTCCTTTACATGAGCACAAGAGGGGTGTCCCGCCTTCCCCAACCGGTTCACGGGGCTAAAAAGTTTGGGGACCACTGCCGTAATAGATCCTGAGCATTCCTGGGAATGTCAACAGTTTTGTCATTTGTTACGTTTTAACCAGTACTTCTCTTTTAATGAGGCAAAGTAACAAAACTATGATATCTGGTTACTTATGGTAATGATACATTTTTAAAAGTATAGAAAGGTGGTACAGTACTTGTTATCTTCCAGCCACAATATTTAGAGTTAGAAACACTAAGAAGTAACCACAAACTTTCTTTGGATTACCTATTTTAATATCCAGAGTGTGATTGCATGATACAAGAAGCCTGGAATATGGATGAGTCTGTCTTACTGTGTCATTTAAACACCTGTAATGACTTCTTAGTGTGGCATTGCAGAGGGGAGACTGGCAGTTACATTGGTCAAAGTAAATTAACTGAACACACATGGAATGTTAAGTCAGAATTCTGGAAAATATTGGTTTATCTGAATCAGTGTGGATTTGATTTAAGTTAAATTGATTTAAATTACTTCTCAAAAATACTAGAGTTAATCACATCATTTTAATAGAAAAACATGCATTCTTGTTTGCTATAGACTTTGTAAATATTCTTCAGGATAGGCATCTTCAAGTAGTCTCCACTTCCAGGCCTGAAAGTGTAGCCATTTAGAAAGGGGTCTCTTAACTTTCTCTACACAAAGCTGCTGAGTGATAATAGCTAAGGTTCCTCTATAAAAATAATATTATCACTCTAGGAAACTACTGGAGATTCTGACAGAGTTTCCAAGAGTTTTCAAAATTATATCATCCCGAGAAGTCCCAGGAATAATATTAGATACAATAGAAAATAGGGCTGAACAGGTTTGTCATTTCTCATCCCCATAAAATGCTGTAACCTCTAAAGACCCAATCCCTGTTTCAAAGTGATCAATAAAAGAAAAAGATTAACATAGATAACCCATACAAAGCGCTATTGAGTTTCATCAAATAGATATGCCAAACCAAGAATTGTTGGATGCTATTTATAAAAATATTATATGAAAAACAGTTTTATAACACAGAGACATAACTGACAATCCTTATTCCATAAGGAGAACTCTGACCTAGAAAAGCCAAACTTGTATTACTAGTGCAACTCCACTGGTGTGAACCTCAATATGGAACTGCTATTAATTAAAGATGTCAGTAGGGTTTCCAGTGGGTTGTAGTGGATAGAGTGATGGACTCGGACTCAGGAGACCTGGGTTTGATTCAGGGTAGGAAAAAAATCAATGATTTTTAAAAAATCAAATTGATTTAATTCAGAATTTAAATAAAAATGCTATTTTTAATTTAAATTGTAAAAAAAATCCATTTTCGATTCTGCAAACATGGGTTTGTTTCAGAAGAACAAGCTAAGAACTCTGGCTGAAATGTCATACTAAACAACACTGGTCTGCTTAGCAGCTGCTATAAAGAGATAAAGAAAATAGGAACAAATATCGTGTCTGCCTCCAAACAATACTAGTTTACAATAAAGAACAATCCTTTGTACTCTGGCTTATTGTTTTAACTGAACAAAGCCATTATATTCTGCCACAAAGCTGCTTTCAATTACAACAAATAAAAATGAACAACTGCTGGGCTTCCTGCTAAACTTGAAAATTCAACTAAAATATTACTCAACAAAAAAGAAACCAATTTAACAGAATACATTTTAAAAAATAAAATAACTACTTTCTTATGTAACAGCTTTTGTTATTGATTAAGCCAATTTAAATCACAAAGCAACAATAGTGTTATTCTTGAGATTTCCCACTTGTTTGTGTAGAAAACATTTCAAAATGCATAGTCCCTCAAACGAAACTGCGTGTCAATACATGCCAAAAAATTACTTTTTTTGGTTACACATGCTTTGTGGCACTCAAACACAAGGTCAAGTGTTAACTTATATTAAGGTTAATTCATTACCTTTCAAGAGCATACCAGCTGCTAAAAAAAGCCTGAAAGGAACCTGAGCATGTTCCCTGGACAAGTATTGCAAAACAAAATCAGAATATGGGAAGACAACATAACTGAAAGTATGAAAGTAAGTGTTTATAATCAGAGACCAGATATGCTGTAGCACAAGGGATTCCTAGCATCTAAGACATTCATGTTGAATGGCTAACATGAAGGTATTAAAGAGCAGATAAAGATGATTCCAGGGCACTGAGTGTTTGGAGTAAATAAATCCCCCTCCCTTTGGCCACACTTCTCAGGCACGGATAAGGATGAAGCCTAGAGAATCGCTCGGTTTGCCTATGAAACGCGAGAATCCATCGCAAAGAGCCCCTGCGGGTGAGACCCCCTCGGCGAGGGTTTCCTCCCCCCAACTCACCATAAGGGAGTCTCGGCCCATACCGCCGCCACCGCCTCCTCCTCCTCCTCCGCCGGCGGGTGCTCCGGGTCCGACGGGTCGCATC